CGGTGCGGTGACCCTGCCAGCACGGTGCGGTGACCCGGCTGGCACGCCGCTCTCCGCCGCTCTCCGCCGCTCTCCCGGGCTCAGCTCCGGCTGCCCCTCGCTGCGGGCGCGTCCCGCCGCCATGTGGCTCCCGTTCCTGCTCCTCGGTGGGTACCGCGGGGAGATGCGGGGGCCGGCGGGGCGGGCACGGAGCAGYGTCCCGACCCGCTCCCTGTCTGTTCGCAGGCGCTCTCCTGCTCTCCGGCCCGGTGCGCGGCAGCGACGGCTCGGGTGAGTTGGCCGCCGTTCCCCCTCCGCACCCCGCGGGGTTTTCCCCTCGGAGCGTCTCTGCCCCGCCTGTCCAGCCCGCCCGGGGTGGCGGTGCCCGGGGGGCTCTTGGCCGCGGGTCCCGGCTCGACGTTCCCCGGCTCTCCCGGTGGATGCGCGGGGAGCTCCCCGACCCCGCTGGGGAGGGTTGCGCGGAGCCGCCGGCGGGAAGCTGCAGAGGGGCACGGAGGATATCTGGGAACGCTTCCAGAAGGGGTGAAAAATCTTTGCCTGCTCAGGATGAAGCAGCGCCGTGGTGACCGGTGTCCCCTTCGAGGGGAGTGCCGCTAGCAGGAGTGAGTGGGAGTGTGTTTGTGTGTGTTACAAAGGCAGTCGTGCAGTGCTTGGCAATTTGAGGATCTCTGGCGTGTTTTAGACCGTGGCATTGATTAAAAATATTTTAAACCTGCCCTGCCATTATTTCGACCTGGGAAGCAAAACAACGTACTTCGGATGCCTAGCAGGGTACGGCAGGGRCTGCCTGTCGTACCATCCTGTGTCGGACTGCATCCTTGCTGCTGGAGAGCAGGCTCTCCTGGAAGCACAATAAATCCATGGCAACCAGGAGCCACAGGAAGCAGCGGAGGAATAAAGTGACAGAAGGACACCAGCAGTTTGCAGTTTGTCTGCCCCTTTCAGTGGAACCTTTCGCCAAGGGAGGATAGGAGCCTCCGGAAGAACGTGCTGCCAGATGCAGGCCTGGCCTGCAGAAGGTGAGTGACCTCAAGCTTTTCTGAATGGTTGTTCACAATTTCACAGTTATTAGGAAGTAGGATTTACTGCTCATTTTGTKTTGAATCAAAGATTTGGAGAATTCTTGTGTGCTAAACTGATGAAAGCTACATATGAGAGGAGTGCTATGGCTAAAAAAGGAGAAAATGCACAGCAATAGAAAACCTCCTCTAACCCCAGTTCCTTTCCCTCTTTTACTTTGCAGGTGCAGTATAGATGAATTGCTGACAGTCTAGTAGGAAACAAATGAAAAGTTTTCTGGGATGCTTCCTTCAGGGCTGGAAAAGCCAAAGTAAASTGAAGGTATCTGGAATTAGCTAAAATAGCATTAATATGAACAGTTTCTGTAAGATATTGCCTCTCACCATTATTATGAGCCTAAATACAGTASATTATTGAGGAAATTAATATTCTTTCATTAATTTGAACAACACAATTTAGGCACTTCYATAAATATTCCTGCAAGTTTCTAGTTCAATAACCAAATGGTGCTGAATTTAGCACCAGATGAATGATATAGCCCTGACCAGACTTCTTCAAACCCCATTGCCCTTATCCAGATCAGGATATGTACTTAAGATTTACATGAGTTAGTATGCAACCTGCTAACATGTCTTCCAAAATATAAACAAGTGTAGATTACCTGGTATGTCTTTTTTTCAACTACGATAAGGTACGTGGGAGCATTCCTTGTGTAGGATAGAAAAAAACAGTCTTCTTTGAAGCCTCAAGATAAAAAAGGACCTAAAAGCTTTATATTTTTAAAAGAATATTAAATATTAAAAGGAATGTGAAGTATAATAGGGATGAACTCCTCTAATTACAACTCACAAAGCTGTCTTTCTTGTAGGAACCCTATTTTTTTTTATTTTGTAATAATGTACATAGGATTTCTTTTTTTCCTTTGCATAAACAAACTGTTTCCCTGAAGCAATGCATGGAGACTTCAAGATTAGAAAAGCTCAGATTTTGCCTATGGATTTTATTTCCCTAGAATAATTTAAAGCAGCGGCTAAAAAAATAAGTGAGAACTTTTAGAGGTAGACACAAGAGGCAGCTCTTCAGAGCAAAATCAGAGTACACGGAAGAGGCAACAAAAAGATGAAAGTTAGTGGAATGATTGAAAACATGATTGTTTGAAAAGACAAGTGAGTCTTTGCTTCTTTTTTTCTTTTTTTTTTAGGTCAACAATGATGGAAGACATTCATCCCTACCCTTTAAATACAGCTTAAATCAGGAAGAATTACAGCTTCTTTTCTTTGTACTTTGTTTTTGTAGGGTGCTCTGATGTAGTGTGTTTCTGTGATGCTTGAAGGGTGTGTGTCTTGACAGGATGGGATGACRGTCATTTTATTGTCATTCTAAAGGCCTAATTTTATGCAACAGAGCASAGGTCTCTAGACTTCAACAGAGTCCAGAATGAGTAGGAGTCTAGAACTGAATAATTTTCTGTAAATTGTAAGCTTATATTTATTTCTTCCAAAAATACTTGGATTTAGCTTATTGGAAGTATTGAAAGAAATGCCTTCACTGCTAGTGCTCCTGTGTTTTTTTTAGTTAATAAGCACCTCTGGTAACATCACAGCAYTGCTTGTGCCTCTCCCCCTGCAACAGATTGGATTGGGATTAAAATAGATGKGTTTTATCTAGGTTGCTTTATATATAGGTATAGCTCTTGGGCAGTTTTTGCCATGTTGCAGTATCTTGGATAGACTAACAGAAAAAAGCACTACTTCAGATATTTAATATCATAGATTAAATTTGTAAGAGTGATGGAGATGTAAGCTGTTGAAGAACAATTTCATATGTTCTAGTATTCAGATCGCATTAATACATTTTTGTGTTTGCAATGAAGTGATTGAAGTTTTATGAGTTGGATGTCTGATGGAGGATAAACAAAGAGGGAAGAACAAAAACTSCTGCAGAGCTGATATCGTACGTCTTAATTTTGGTAGCCAAAAAAAAAAAATTGTTTTCATTTTGATACTTCACCAAACATTTTGAATGTTACTCTTGGTTATAGARTTATGGCTTAGAGAAAACTCTATCTACCTACGTAGAAAACCAAAATGAAATTTTTGCTTTTTGATTTACAGCATCATTTACTTCAGAGTGTTTGTGCCTCAGTGCTGACCCAGCTGAGGTACAAACTGCGAAATCCYCCAGCTACAGCGTGTTAGCTCTTCAGGTCAGACAGCAGCAAGTGCTTCCCTTGCAGGGTAGACAAGGATCAGGACAGTCTTAGGCTGCCAGTACAGAAAAATCCCACGGCTGCACTACAATGGATTTCTGTGTTTWCACTGCCAGGGAAGACACAGAAAGATTATTTTTTCCCGGCATCTTCTGCTCTATACYATGCAAAAGTCTGCCACATGACGGTAATTAGTAAGTACTTGGTGATGAGGGAAATACAGATGTCCAAGCGATACAGGGTTTGTTAACCAGACATGTCTAATTACTGTCTTGGTGTGCACAGMCAGCCAAGGAATTCAGTCAAGTCTATTACATTAAAAATGACAGGAATTAAAACTTCCTGTGGCATCTTCCACTTTTAGAGGCTGGGAAAATGTTGCAGGAGGAGAGGCACAAGCAGTGCTGTSAGGTTACCAGAGGTGCTTATTGCARTGACTCCTCCAAGGGTTTCMATCCTTCCAGCTGCTGTTTGATTTTGATTTTTGATGGTCTTTCTAGGTGTCATTTGGTGGAGATTACTTATCTGTGCCCACTAATTAGCAAAACCTGCTTGTAGAACTTTACATGAAAGRATTAGGGGATTCAAACAGTAAAGCAAATCGACTTCTTTTAGCACACCAATAATATAGCATTTTTGATAAGGAAAATATGGAGCTTCTAAGTACGAGCACTGGTGATTCTGCTTGATTTTTTTTTCCATCTTTAGTTTTTAAGGCAAATAAACAAGACTAAGCATGGAGGGGATGGAAGTAGGTAAGACTAAGTCCTAAAGCAAACTTGTGTATTTCTTAGAATACTTGAGAATCAGATCAAATCACTTTACGGTACCTTTCTAGGTAGACAACTTCTATTGCCTTGAGAAGGGAAAGATAAAGAAATGCTTACTGCTTTCTTTTCTTCTTACTCTGAACTACATAGATAGGTTCAGCATATATAAGTCCCATATTTGTACTGACAAATAGCAGCAAAGATTTTCAGGGAGATGTGATTTAGTTTAACATAGTTTCAGCATAGCATTAATGACGGTTGTATATAATTAAGAGTAAAACGACACACATGGTTGATGAACATGTGTGTTCAATTTACACAGTCAGAATGAACAGACAAGCTTCCCTCTGCATCTCTGGCTGCAACTGTTCTGCTTTTCAGCCCTAAAGTCAGTGAGATTAGCTGGAGATGTCATCTTTTCCATCCCTGATGAAGAAGGACATATGCTCCAAGTACTTTATAAGCAGCATTTGTTGGGGTCAGAAAACACCCTAGGTAGGGTAAGAGTGAAAAGAGTGGGCAGAAAAGCAGATGAGAGAGGGATCATTGAACCCAGAAACATACAGCCCTTGGCTTATAATGCTGTGGTGCATGCACTGATAGCTTGGCCAGCCTCTGCCAGCTTTCACCTTTACTGTGCAAAGRCAGTATCCCAGGGGCATTTGGAAAAGGTTCTGGCACCTTCTAGGTGCAAAATGTGCCTTAGGAAGCTGAGAATACAGGCATGGGTTGGACTTAGGCTGCTGAATTGATAATGATCTAATTATCTCCAATTTGCTGTGCAGACCAGTTGATTGTGCTATCTTGTGTAGTAGAAGGGTGGTAGTTACCATGCAAGATAAAGACCTCTATGTTTTTGAAAGAAAAAGCATCAGCTTGCCAAGCAGAACTGTGTACTGATGTTAATCTGTGTCTGCATACCTTCATTGCGCACGGGCAAGCACAGTGAAAGCTTAATGATGATAACCTGAGGAGCAACTTCTGAAAAAAGGCAGAGTTCTATGTAAAAAATGCATGTGCCTCAGCTGAATGAATATCTTCTGTATCACTGTGTGAATGTGACAGTCCTCTGCACGATRATGATGATGTAAGCTTCACTGTAATGAATTGATGCCAATGTTCTAGATGTTACTGGAGCAAAGAGAAGGGTATTCCTTTTTTTTTGGGCTTTTTTTTTTACACTGGCCTCAGTAGGATTTATTGCAGAGGCTAAGGGAAATGCTGCTGTCAACCTGCTTCATGGATGCCACTGGAGAGAAGATTCAGAATTTCCCAAGTGATTCAYAGATGTCTTATGGCTGGAGATTACTGTGGGGATGTCAGTCATTTAATTTGTCCCTTGGAAAGTGCCACCCACATCTGTGGTCCACCAGCCCTCAAAGGTCTTTCCCTTGCCCTTCTGTCTCTGCAGTAAACTTACAGATGTGAATTGCTTTTCCTTGTGTAATGCTCCTTGGATATTATTTTTATKTTGTTTGTTCATGGGGACTTTTTTTTATTCTTCTCACCATTTTCTGCCACTTTTTTGCCATAAATAATTTTGAAGTGTKCTTCCTTGTCATAACTGTAAGCTCCAATGACATATTTGTAGGCATTGCACCTAATTTCAAATTCAGACATTGCTTTAAACTTGGCAACTGTAAAGACATTAAAAGAAGAAACCCCAAGAACAAACCCTTAAGGTTTTCAGGTCAAAAGTTCTTCTTTTCTCTTTAGCTTCTACTGCTATCACGTGCTTTACAAGAGGACTTGACCTTAGAAAGGGGACAGAAGATGTCCTTTGCCCAGCAAACTGTCCTCTGTGGCAATTTTATGTCTTTGGGGATGGAGTTTATGCCTCTCTTTCGAGTATCTGTGGAGCTGCCATACACAGGTAAGCCAGATGATTTCTGATCCATGTGCTAAGTGAGTTTTGCAGCCTTTGCCACTCATAAATCTTAGCCTTTTGATGCCATCAATGTAAAAATCTGTGTGGATTTTGTGTGTCCTACTAACTCAGTCAGAATACCATTGGGAGAAGAGAAAACAAGGGGAACAAAGGAATGTCTGTKCAGCTTGCAGGTTATCTGAGTTGTGTTTAAGTGTTCCTAAAAACCACTTTGTTCCTGAAGKGCTGCAGCATTGTCCACAAATGGACTTTCCCTGTAAAATCATTGTCACTAGCAGATACGGAAGGATCCAGTATAAATAGTAACTCACGGAAGAATAAAAGCAGATCCACACTCTGACTTTCTTAAAAGCTTGAGTCAAACAAACTGTYCAAAACAAATGGAGGAGTGGTTTCAATATATTTTTTAACATCAAGCAATGGAAGAAAGCTCTTTCAGAATATATTGAGGTGATGCTGCAGCTATCAGAGTATTTTTTATACTATTAAAACCCCCACAACTAAAAACTTAAAACTTTACAGGAATATAAATGGCTAGAAGATAAATGAGGAAAATAGAAGTTTCTTGAGTCAGTATTCATTGCTGGACACTTTAAATGCCATAAAAAAACATGCTAAGCATTTTAAATAATATTTAGGGGGCTCTCATTATTATCTAGAATCTTATTTAAAATTTTATATCTTTKTCAATTAAAATTCTACAGCTTTTAACAGGACTTTGAAAATTTGGGCTACTTGTATATTATTTGAATTCCTATGTTAACTAAAATGAACTTTTTTTAAAAAAAACTGACTTAAAGAGGGGTTTTGAGTAGAAACTCTGGAATTTCTCAAATGTTTTAATAGACTCTATAGGAGGAGCTAAAAGGAGCTTGGGAGGTATTATGGGGGGTCTGTTTCTATTTGTTTTTAGAGCTTAGCAGTTTGTCTCATATTTACATGTCTCCATATGTATTTTATTRCTAGACAGGTTTCCTTCTAATGCTTCTGTAAAAAGAATGAAAGTCTCCATTTAGTGAGTTTTAAATGTCTTCATGAGTGTTAAAAAAATGAAGTTACAYTTTGGTTCTTCACTCCTCCTAGTTTATATATATATATGTAAAAAAGTTTGTGAAAGAATGTCTGGATCAAATGCAGTGACTTTGGTTTTGCTTATTTTACTGTTTCTCTTTTTTGGACTGAGGAAAAGTGAGATTTCTTTCCCTTGTAATTTTTTCTGAGGCAATGTTTGTATTTAGTGACKCAGCCATTTATTTTAACATTCCATTTATTGTAACATCCCATTTCTTACCAAAAATGTCTTTACTGAAAAGAAAAATAAAAAGCTCTTGCTGTTAATGCCTTTTTCTAAAGAGATTAAACAAAGACTTGAACATTTTGAAAAGACACAGAAGTTCCTAACCAGCTGAAGCAGGCAATGTTCTTRAACCTCCCTTGCCAGGTGTGTCTGTGACTGACTGTTAGGAAAGTCCCAGTTGTGTCACARCTGGGACTTTCCTTACAAAAGGAAGAGGTACAAGAAATGGACGATGCATATTTTTTTCAGGATTTGCATAGTCCTCCCCTAGACAATAAAGCAAAACTTTATTTTAYTATATATCACTCATCTCTTCACTGACATCTGTACCTTACAAACTACAAGTACTATTTTCTCCAGCCAGCAGCATGAGATTATAGAAAAATCCATTTTTTTCATAGTAAGAGTCAATATAAATTGTCCTGCTTGTGAAATATGCCACCTTTTTTAAAAACATCTAACAATCTCCACAGACATTGTGAGAATAATGAGGGCTCAAATAGCAATAAAGGGATTTAAAATATACTCAGCTTCCTAATCTGGACTTCCAGAGTGGATGTAAATTGATATTGTTCAAGTCTTGAATATGGTAGACTTAGTAAGGTTCTGGAAAAGCAGACTAAAGGTGAAAAATTATCTGTTTAGGAGAACTGCCTTTTTTGAACAGTGCCATTAAGTTGGGGGCTATTAGTTCTGCTGGCCTTTCACACTCAGAACAGAATGTGACAGCATTTTGGTGGTTTTGCTGCAACTGTTAACAGCCAAAAAGAGTCCTGGCAAGAAAGGGTTGATGTATGGAGGAGAGGCAATATCTGTTTTGTTCTCAGCTGATTTCAGTGCAGGCTGCAAAACCAAACAAAACATAGGAAATGCTTGCTCCTTCCTGCCCTGTGTTGCAACATCTAAACTGGCACTTTGGCATGAAAGAAACTTCAAGAAGATATTCCCAACAGCTCATSGTAGTTTGCCCTTCTTCTGGCACATGTAGATTCGTGCTTTCACAATTCTGTAAATTTCTTCCAAATAACCAAACAAACCATTACTTTCAAATCAGGCTGGATTCCTTAATTTTATGTAAATCAAATAATGCTTAATCCTGTGAGTAGTTTTATTGCTGTGAGGCAATTATTAGTGCAAGAAAGTGCTATGTAATGCACGAAAAAATATTTAGCAGCATTCAGCTATGAATGATTCTGTATATTGCAGATGAGTACGTTTGTCTGTTTTAGCTTATTATATTTGGCTTKTTCTCTCATTTTATGTGGAATTACTCCTATGAAACAATATTTATTTAATATTGTTCTTTTTCTGGGCAGAAGAATAAAAGATTTATTTGTTGAGGGAAGCATGGAGAACCTCCTACCAGGCTGACACTATGTAGGCATGAAGAACTGAGTTAAATCTACCCCTGAGTGATTAATTGGATTAATAATCAGCAGGTCAGATGAAGGACTAGGTTTCCAGCTTGTGCAATTCTGTTTTACTGCCAATTCCACTAAATGGATACCTATCCCAATGTGGTAGCATTTAGATGTTAAAGAGGCATGTACATTTTTTCATAATTTCCTAACAAGTCACGTGAAAGCATTCCTCATTAAGCACTGGGCTCCCAGAACTGAAGTCTGACAAAAGCATCTCATGGTTATTCCCAAGCTGGCACAAAGTGCCCATAAACACCGATGGCACCTGAGCTGCCCTAGGGTGTGCTAGAAGAATATTCACATAAAAGTTTTCTGGCCAAGGGGATTTCTGAGCAGCTGTAGATCCCCTGGGAAACTTTGGTATAGTGCCTGCTTCTGCTGCTGAACTTCTTTCCTGCCAAAAGCAATAGGGGTGCAGACAAGACAGAAAGAAAGGGAGAAAGAACACAGCTTAGGAGTCCAGAGGATGTTGGCATGAAATCCTGAAAAGCTCTGTATCAGTGATTGATGGCAAGCAGGCAGCAGCAGGAGATGGGTTTGGAGATGAGGAGGATACTTCCTGSAGTGATGGAGAAAGGCTGATTATTTGGAAGGAGTTTGCAGATGATGGTAGTAGGAAGGAAAGATGGAAATTAAGGTAATTCAGCTGCCTTGTCTGCAGTCCCTGAGGATAAACTGACTGCAGTTACATCCATAAGGCTCATCTCCCATGGCCAGAATCATCACATCTTGGGGTCTAGACATCAGTTTTGATGTGTAGACTTCTTGAAAAATGCACTCAAAATTCAGCAGCACCGTGTATCTCTTTCTCTGAGAGTGCACATAGAGTTCTTGCACACTGGGGAAGTCCACGAGGATCTTATAAAGCTTCCATTTCATCTGGTGTTTTACCTCAATTCAGTTCAGATTAAGTATCTTTGAGCTGAAATTCCTGTATTTCATAGGCTCTTTCTGCTGSCTTTGGCTGATATTCTTTCTTTTGTGAGCTGTTGTGCAGCGAGGTACTGGATTGCTGCCTTGGGTATCTGCTTTTCTGTTTAATTTCTGCACATTTGTCAGTGAAAGAACCATTTTGGTATAAATTGCAGAGTGTTATTAACAAACTAGGCAAGAGAATGGACTGACAGCTTTGACATAAAGTCACTGTCAAGCAGCACTRGCAGTAGCATAATGAGTAGGGAAGTGAAAGCTGTTCCTGGAAAATCTGCAGGGCTCCAGTTGAATCAAAACAGCCRTGGCATGCAAGTCAGTCACACAGGAGCAAAGCACAGCAGCGAAAATCAAAACAGATTGTGGTGACGTAAGTCATTCTATGGAATGCATGGGCAGTTCTTCACTCTTCAAAAACCATTGCAGACCCTCACAGGATGAATCTTGTTTTAAGAGTCAATTATAAATGATTGCAGAACGGGATTTGCCAGTCTGGTTCAGAATACAAAGGTAGACTGGCAATATATGGTTTGTTCCATGTTGGAACATGGACATTCCTCCTCCCTTGGAGGAATATCCCAGGTAAAACTGATGAGATTGTAATAAATGGCCTTAAACTGTTAACTCACCTACAGAACACAATGACAAGAAAGAAGGAGTAACTTTCATAAAGCTACAGTTCATGTTRTATTTACATCTAAAATCAGCCCCCACTCACGTTAAAAACAGCAGAGCTGTTTCATGGAAGTAGTATAGAGCAGTGTAGAGCTTTGACTTGTGTCCAAATACAGAATCAAATGTTTTCAACGAATAGGTAAGGAGCAAATAAATCAACTCCAGCTTCACTGTAAAGCTTCCAMATTCAGTAGAGACTAGGAAGATTATTATTTTCTTCTAGAATTATTAATTGAATTTAATGAATTATTATTGTTGCAATTAAAATGTAAAGACCAATAGACAAAACAGAACAATGTAAACAATATTGATTGCAGGGTGCCTAAAATAAGCTGAAATAATTGTTTTTAGGAATACTGCTTAGGCTGAGCTTTCAATGTGGATGTTTCCTTGAGTTCAATTCAACCAGCAGTCAGATATGTGAGTCCACAACAAAGAAAATGGGAAGAGATACTGAGCTCTTCTTAGGAGCTAACTTGGGCGTGGATGAGGTTTGCTG